CACGTTGCTGGAACTTCCTGAAGATGGTGTGTAAGTGGTCGTGGAACTTCTAACCATCACTGAGCTCTACACCGAGATGCTTAGCGGAGCGCCCAGATCCGATTAAAACGTTGTCCATGGACACAGAGGAGGATTCAGGAATGTTGGAATTGGACAAGATGAAGGTTTTTTCAGGAGAGAATTTGCCATGTATTTTCTGTGCCCAATGCTGGCAGCTGGCGAGATCCTGCTGGAGGTGGGATAGGTTCTCATCTAAGGAGAGGGATACATCATGAGCATTTAGAAGAGTGACGTCATCAGCAAAAAGGAAGGGTGAGCTATGGTTAACTATATCAGGAAGGGAATTGATATACAAAAGAAAAAGTGGAGGTGCAAGGTGTGAACCCTGGGGGATACCACAATTTAACATAATATACTGGAATGAATGAGTTGCATCGAGCTTCACACTTAGACTACGGTCAAGCAAATATGATCTAAACCAGGCGTGTGCCTCTGGCGCCATAAAGGTATTCATGTGGCTCAGGAGCGTGGGATGATGCACTTTATCAAAAGCTTTCTGGAAGTCGAGAAATGCACAGTCAAATTTCTGCCCTCTATCAGAGAGACGGGCAATGTGATGGGTCAAAAGAATGAGTTGATCCGTAGCTGATCTTTGAGGAACGTAGGCGAATTGACTAGGCGAGATTATGCAGTGCCGATGAAGATAGCTGTTCAGATGATGGGCTATGCGGGATTCGAAGAGGCGGCTGATGGGATGAAGCAGTGAAATTGGTCTATAGTTTGTGGGCAGAGAAGCACTGCCTTTGCCCTTGAAGAGAGGAATGACCGTTGCTGATTTCAATGCAGTGGGAAATTGTGATGTGGACAGACTAGAGTTGAACAAGCAAGACAAGGGCTTACATAATAGATCGGCCATGGAACAAAGAATCGGAACAATTTGATTACTTGAAGTGGATTTTCGAGACGAAAGGTGTGTGAGGTCACAGTGGACTTGACCTGGTGAAAATGTAGGCAAATGGAACTGAGTAGCGCTAGCGTCTTTATCTATGGAGGAAGGTGAACAAGGGAATTGATTTGCTTCTTGTGGGAACGTACACTGGTTGGCGAAATGCTGTGCAAGGAGGTCCACCTTTTCTAATTGTGTGTTAGTGTGACGGTCGCCATCTTGTAAATCTGGTATCAATGGTTTACTGGATGAAATGTTGCCGAAGTCTTTCACTCTCCTCCACCACACATATCCACCTTTCGTGCAGCCACTCGATATGCTGGTTGTGGTGCGATCTAGAAAGGCAGATCTGGCAGCACTGATGTTGATCAGCAACACAGGCGCGAAGCTGAGTCGAATGACATGTCACATGGCGTCAGCATGCATACTGATGTATGCTAAGCATTCATTCGCGCAAGCATACTCGGTGTATAAGCCGCAGGGGCGATTTTGGTCCGATTTTTAGCGAAAAAAAGTGCGGCTTATATCCCGGAAAATACGGTACATGTATGTTACACGAGTCACAGAAAAACCACGCGTCTTGATTGTCGTAACTTAAAGTTTCATGCCATATAGCAATCTTCAGACAACTGATTACAGTGATGCACAGCTAGTATGGTATTTATACAGCAGCATAGGAAGGAATCTGTGAAGGTTTGAGGTCTGGTGGGTGCAAAAGTCCTGGATGGAAAATGTGCCAAACTCACATGGTCCGTGAGTGAGAAAAGAAATATGATATGGCAGGAAGGCAAGCAAGGCTGTGTGAAAGGATGATCAAAGTGTGTGGCATCTTGCACCTGCATGATTGTGATTACAGGCAAGCCACATTATCAGTTGTCCGAAGATTGCTATATGGCATGAAACTTTAAGTTACGACAATCAAGACGCGTGGTTTTTCAGTGACTCGTGTGTTACTGCTCTGCTTCCGCATTGAGCACTCTATCGATCCGGAGGACTCCGCTATTTGTACATGTATGTTACATAGAGTATCACACACATTTGGCAAGTAGATCTACAATGCACAACATTATAATACCGTCTTCTAAGCTGTAGTCTTCACTGGTTTACAGTTTTGGATCTGTAGAGTAAAGCCTCATTCACACTTCGCTTTGCGTAAGGGAAACACTTCACAACGGCCGTTTGCGGCGAGAAAGTTGACTTGATCTTGAGTTGAGTTACTTGTTTGGTCCATCGCGCGACCTTCGCCTGTGCGCATTGCGTTCATGAAATGAAGTATGAATCAGTCTTGAATGTGCCAGTCCATTGCTCAGTTTTACCATGTTCTTGCCTAAGTCTGTTGTGAGTTATCTTGAATCCGTAGACATTTCGCCGTATTAGTACCATCCGTACCATCCGTTCCATAAAAATGCTGGTTCTTGTAATGGCATCCACCATAAAATGACATCTGTTCTATGACCGTAATCATTTGCCCACCATATCTTCTACATTTAGTGAGATGTTGCCTAGGGCTGCTGCACTGTATGCATGCAGTTGTAGTTCCCACCGCCTTGATGCTGGCGGCATATTCAACATGACATGTATGCATTGTATGCACGCCTATGGATTCGTCCTTTTCTCGTGTAAGTGTACACTCAAGATTGTTCTGTCTGATTGAGTGATCTAGACTTGTTCTCACATTGGACACCATATTCTTTTATGCGAAACGTTCATCAGAGTATAACTTCATTTCCAGGCTCTCTGGTGTGTACATTCTCTCTTGCTGTCCAGGGTTGCTGCAATGTATATGTAATCATCGCTGACTGGCTGTTGGCAGAGTATTTGATGCGTGCACGTGTATGGATCCGTCCCTTCCTCATGTAAGTGCGCCAGAATTTGTGATATGAAGCTGAGTGATATAGAACTCGTCTCAAATATCACTTTTTGCCAATCAGCGGCCGTTCTAAGCGGGATATATTCAGCGATATACCCCGCTCGGTTCACATGGGTCACTTCGAGAATAAGGAAACTTTAAGCCTAGTTCGCATTCGACGTAACGCTGACGGTATGGAACGTAAGGGCCTGTTGGGACGGCCGGGGTGAGCTGCAAAATCTTGTACGATTCGTAAGACACAACATGTAGTTTGACACGACATGCAGCAGCTATTGCGATTTTCAAGAAGTGACACGAAATCTTATCTTCCTAAAATTTGAATCAGTTGTGCTAGCCATTCGGCGAGTTATCATGGGAAGCGTAGTGTTGACCGTGTTCGAAATGTTTAAAAAACCTAAGTGTGCTGTTGTGCGCATCGGGAGGGGTCAGCGCACGACACATCCCCTGTTCACACTAGAATGCAGTTGTTTTGTACGCTTGCGTCCTCGTCTACGGTCTGAAAAGTTGAACTGACCAACTCTTCCCCTTGCTTCCCAATCTGTAGGGTAGAACGGTTGCGTTCCCGTTCCTGGTGTTCACATTGGACGCTGTCTGTCGGCGTCATAACCGTTCCGTCGGTTCCCGTTGCGCCCCGTCGAATGTGAGCTAAGCGGCTTTCGTGTTGGTCACACTCTGTATTTAGGAAAGTACCATGCAAATGGATTATACTATTCGTACTCTGTGTATACCGAGTCCCCCAATTGTCCCTCGTCCTAACGCACTCTCGAAAGTAATCGCGGTATACCCCTCATACTCATGGTATAATCCATACCTAATATATATAATCAGTATCATCTGCTGTTTGTTTTCCATTGCAGGTTAAACGGTCTCAATCAAGCATCGTCATCAAAACTTTGCACAGAAGAGTGTCAGCGGTGTCGGTCATCCTCTGGGATCCTCTTTCTGTTATTACTGAAGCTCAATTCCCAATACATGAACTGCTTTCCACGATGCGCAACATGCAACACCTGCGATGAGCTGCAACTGCGACAGATGATTCACAATCTGTTTTGCTTCTGCGACATCTAAGTGCAGGGCGTAGTACCCTCACGTGCACCCAGCCTAGTGAGCTGCACTCCATTCGTGTACAACGCGCTTGGCAAGAGTTATGCTTTTGCCAACTTCTGGGACAGTGGCCCTACAACTGCTTGCGACAGTGCGCGTCTGCGCGACAGGCATTTCCTCGCCGCAAGTGTTACATCACAGAAAGTGATACATGTACATGTAATTGTGAATTGTACATACTTTTCATCCAATTCAACTTTTAGTATGTGCTTCTCTTTGTTGAATGTGCTTCTCTTTGTTGAAGAGCAATGGGTAACCAACTCTTCTCCTATCCATTCATTCTCCTGCTCGTGTTTGTATGGTGGTTGTATACTGTATACCCATTGAATGATTAATGTACTGCAGTGTCAGGTTTTGTCTGGTGATATATTCACGTCCAAATATGTTCAATTTTCACTTGGTCACACAAGGGTTGGAAGCTTAGAAACACTATACATCTATTCTTAAGGGTGTTCTCCATTGATATTTTGATTGATCTCACCTGTTCAAGACGTCCATGTCGACTTTGAGGCCGACTTTTGCATCGATGTCAGCTATTTTGTAGCACTTAGAAAAATGATCCCTACCACCCGGGACGCATTCTATCGCGTTGTTTGCATTCTCCTGGCGGCAGGGCATTGCCAAACTGATTACCTTTCATATAAAATAATTCAAGGGATGTGGAAGAAGCCTTCACTGCTCGACCATGCCAATAACCCTGTTTCATACATACCCCAAAAACTAGACAAATTCGAAATTTCTCAAGCTTGAGAACGTTTCCCGGCAAAAAAACCCTCGAAATCTGTTATATCGGGATTGGTCGTTTGGGAAAGGACTGTATGGTCTCCTTACATGTACAGGGTACCCTAGCCAATCTAGGATTGCGATACGAAATTGACTTGGTGAAGCAGCAAGGCGGACCAACCGATGCCGGATCTGAGTTCCAGCGGTCAGCGGCTAAATAAGAAAGAGGAATAACCAAATCGAGAGGAGGCTCGTGGCAGTACAAGTCCAAGCGAGACTTGACACCTTGTGCAGGTGCGGCTATGTGCCTCAGAAGTTTGATGCACATTGTGCAAGTATCATGAAACCAATGCTACCAAGGCAAGTGCATTCCACTCTTCCACTTCCCAAGTGAATTCCACTCCAGTGTACTTGTGTGGATCTCAGAATTCAAACGACGATTATTTGTTCATGACTGTTCACATATAGCCTACAGTACGTTATCTCTATGCCTATGGGCTGCAGCGAGGAATGGGACATGTACATGTACAATGTGTAAGCACAATATGCATTCATTATGTCTCTTACGGCCTCGGAAATGACGGGACAAAACGAATAACGCCACAAATAAGTGCATTGTAAAGCGAGCTGAAGGGGTTTGGTCGAGAGACATCCCAGGTGCCTGGGTTAAGGTCATTTTCCTTTGAGGGAATAGGCAATCCATTTTCCTAAATGATCAAAACAACAAAAAACAATACAGAACAATACGGAACAGTGCAGAACAATATACTTCTTAGATTATTTGTGAACGATCCGCCCTCGAAATGCATTTTTATTTTTTAAACGAAGACTTACACATACACTGAGACAGTAATAGATGCGAAGCGCTAGACAGCCTGGTTGGTAAGGTGAAAGCATGGATGTCATTGGCGGTGGAACTACAACTCTTCATCAGCCCTACAGCCAACGCTGAGCATCTGATCAGACTGGCATCATCGTGAAGAGACGGACAGGCTTTCCTTTTCAACTTTCCATTTCATGACCTTCGTTGGCTGCGTCATGCATCAGCTCTCGATCTGCTGAAAGGGAAATAGCGGATGGATTGTTTCTGAGAATGTCTGTTGTCTGCACGCGTCCGGAGGCTATGGATTTTTGCTGCAAGCGTCCAGAGATGGACAACAGAGAACATAAAAGTATTTTTTGGTTCATCATCTGATTCTGAGTTCTTTTAAAATACAACTCAGATGATGAACCAAGGAATAATTTCCAAATGTGGAAATATTTTCCACATTACATAAAGAGTAGTTTATGACTCATTATTCTATTCGGATGCAGCAAGATAAGCATGCCTATCGCTGTCGGAATCAGTGTGAATGATCATGAAGAACTGCGTAAGACAAACTTGCATAGTGATACTGCTTGCACCTATTTCACAGAATTTTTCCCTGGGGTCTAAAAATTTACAGTACTGCTATGATGCAAGTCGGACTTTTCATTACTTTCCTGGGCACACTTTCAGAGGGATGTGAATACACTTGGAACTACAAGTAGGAGTACTGTCAGCTAATAACGACTGCGGATATAACGACAATTCGCTAACAACGACAGAAAATCCATGCCCATTGCAAAGTCCTATCTAGCTGTGATAATTATATTAATATTATATTATGTAATGAGACTTCGGGTTTAACTAAAGGACACTTTTCTGATGCTCCGCCGAGTGTCGTTATAAGTGAAGTTGACTGTACACCCCTAGTGTCAATTACTTGATGCTTCAACCATAACTACAGTACCCGTAACCAACAACCTCACATCTGCAAAATTACTTCAGTCACAGAATAAGTACAGTAGCAGGACACCAGCATCATCAAAAGCCGCACAACCCTGTTTATCCCAATCTCCACTATCTGGATGCTCAATTGTTTGGAATGGCTGCTGCGGGTCATGTATGGCGGTGTGTCAATCATTGTTTAGACTAGCGAGGACTGTGTGAACTACAATGTATGCCGTACAGTGTGAAAAGACAGGATATGCACAAGCACACAAAGGCTGGGTTTTACTCTTTAAAATCCGCCCCATACTTGACGGATGATCCTTTACGAACCTCTACGGATTCTAACTCAGTCAAATCAAGCTGAAGCACGAGGTGAACTGCTATTTCTGGACATTGTACATTTCTGGACATTTCGAGTAAAACAATTTTTCGTCGAGTGTAGAGTCAAGTCAGTCGAGTTGATGAAGTTTTTTCTTGCTGTAGTTGACAGCTGGGCTGTTGTAGTTTCTCCTCGTGTCGGTGCCTTGTTGATAGCCTTTGCTTGTGCGGCATTTCAACGGGTTTTGTTGTACTATGTCGCATGAGAATTTTGAATTTTGAGTAAAATAAGAAGTAATTGACGAATTGTTGGCTTCCCCACGTGCACTCCACTTTAGACGCTGTATATAGTCTTAGACTTGTTGGCTAGAAGTGTAAAGAGGCCAACTGAAGTCCACTAATAGAAAAAATAACAAAAATGGTGCCGTATAGGATGCCTATTGACGCTATTTTACTTTCATGTCCAGAATTCCATACACTGAAATTTGACCAAAAAATTGGCCTGTCAAAAACGTCCTGCTATCAAGTCTCTGTGATCACAGCATGGGCAATTGTCACATATTTGGAAAGATGAAGGATTAGGCCATACAATAAATACAAAGATATAAGAAAAATATAAAACACACAGCCAGTGGGGCTCTATTTTATTTTCATGTCCAGAATTTGCCCATTTCACAAGCAATGATGCATTGTGATGTGAAGTGGGGATTGTATGAGGAGCGGAGAGTGGAGATATAACAGTGTATACCAACCCGAAATCGGGGGTTTTCCTTTGCTCGAGATAGCATTTTCAAAACGCAGTTTTACTAAAATTTGAAAAACAAATTTTCGTAAGGAAAACTGCTCCACACGTGATCCATCAGCTCAAACGCGGGAACTCTAGCTTCTTCTTCACCCTTTTTTCAGCGCATTATAGATCTTATTAGGGAGGGTACCCGGGTGGGACTGTTATATCTCCGCTCTCCGCTCCTCATACAATCCCCACTTCACATCACAATGCATCATTGCTTGTGAAATGGGCAATTGCATATCGGAGCTTTGAGCTTCGATATAACAGTGTATACTTCACAGCGCACGTCAACCGGCCTCCGTGGCAACAGTTACTTATGCACAAATGGCGACTACGAGCGTCAGTGATATAATTTTGACGCAGCAAACCAGAACACCCTGGCTGGAATATAACACAAGGGCCTAACACCAACTAAATGTGTGACCACATGAAAACCAAAATCTGGAAAAATATTCATAACCTAGTATGGCGGGACGCTAACACTGGCCGTCCCGAAATTACTTGTAATGCGTACACTACGCAAGTAAACTAGCGGATTAGTCCAGAAGGTATGTTTTGCACACAGTCATACCATCATGACGTAGACGAACAAGCACACTGTCAGCATTGTTTCAGGGCAGTGTAGATGCTGGCACAGCAGCAGCCAATACTCCAGCTGCGAACTCCTGCTGAATGCGGACTGACGCCGCAGGCCTGGGGTCTCTGAGATAGAAGCGCCGGAACGTAGACTCTTGTTTCCAGCCAACGGCGCTCATGACCTCATCAGCTGACAGGCCAGCGGCTGCAGCCGTCGACGATGCAGCGGCTCGGGTTGAATGCCCTTTGAACACCGACGTGTCAACGCCAGCGGTGGACAACACGGACACAAGCCAACGAGAAATTGTAGCAGCTGATACCGCACGGTGTGGCTTGCGGGCAGAGATGAAGAGCTGCTGAGTACCTGAGGGTCTCAAAGCCTTTGTGCGTTCCAAGTATGCTTCCAAGTGGACTACAGGGCAAACTGCTTCCACCTGATATCTGGCTACGAAGACTCTCTTCAAGCTGCCAGAGCGCTGTGTTTTAGTTAATGCCAACAATTGCAGTGAGACACCTTCCGGCGACGAACCAATGTAGTCGGCTGACAGATGCCGGAGCTCAGATGCCCTGAAAGCACCTGTTATAGCCAGTAGAAAGCACAACTTTAGGGTGTGCTGCTCCAGGGACAGATCCTTCACCGGAGGCCAAGATTGGAGAGTGCCTAGCGGGATTGCCGGGTCCCAGGTAGCCGAATAGCGAGGCGCAGGTGGACGTTGTTGATAAATGCCACGCATCAACCGGGAGACGAGCGGGTGTTGACCGATCGCGTGGCCGTCCATCGGCTGCAGGGTACTGGACAGTGCAGAGCGGTACACTCCAATGGTCCGGTAGGACTTCCCTGCCGACACTTGGTCCGTAAGGTACTGCAGGACAGTTGCTATGCCGGAAGATGGCGAAACGGGATTAATCTCCCGTTGACGGCACCACTGACACCACAGTGACCAAGCTGAGTCGTAATGTTTCCTCGTTCCTCCACGCCAAGAAGAACTAAGGAGCGACGACACGTCTGCTGAAAGTTGTTGATGCTGCCATATTCGCCCGATAGCGGCCAAGCGACTAGGTGCAGCTGTCTCGCTTCCACGAGAGGGTGAACGTCGCCCTGCTCGTTCATGAGTAGACGAGGGTGATGAGGCAGCATTATTGGTTGGTTGAAACAGAGGCTCAGTAAGAGGGGAAACCATGGGGCTCCTCTCCACATCGGGGCAACTAACACACACTGAGCTACCTCCTCCCTCTGAATCTTCCTCAGACACCTCGTCAGGAGACAAAACGGAGGAAACAGGTACGCATTCAGGTCCGACCATGTGAAGCTGAGAGCGTCGGTCCTCCACGAGTGCGGGTCTGGCTTCCAGCTCACAAATCGGGGTAGCTGGGCAGCCGTGCGTGAGGCAAACAGATCCACTTCCAGAGGAAAAGCAAGTTGGTTGGCTAGTCTCTGAAAGACTTCCCGGTGGAGTATCCACTGTGCTGCTCCCGTTTGCCGTGACCAAAAGTCGGCTTCCACATTCAATTCGCCTGGCCGGTACTCGGCTCTGATGGTGATGTCTTTCTCCAGGCACCATTGCCACAGTTGTTGGGCTTCGCTGTTCAGCTCCGGGCTGGTGGTTGATCACATTTTGTTGATGCACCATACCGCCGCCTGGTTGTCGATTTCGATGATCACATGAGCAGACCGAAGGTCCTTCGCGAGCGATTGTAGACCAAAAAAGGCTGCACGTAGTTCCAGGCAGTTGATATAAATTTGCTTCTCCTCCACCATCCAAAGGCCTGATGCGTGGTGATGACCACAGACTGCTCCCCAGCCGACTGTGGATGCTGCATCCGTCTGCATGACCAGGTCTGGAACTGGCAGAGGAATAGAGCGGCCGTTGACCTCCTCCAGGTGCTGAAGCCACCAAGACAGATCCTCCAGTGCTGCTGCGCATAGCGGGACGGTCTCCTCCCTTGGTACTTGCCGGCGTAGGGCTGATGCCCGCACTGATTCCAGGCCGCTCAAATGCAGGTTGGTGGGAAGAATCGCGGGTGCTGCTGAGGACAGCAGTCTCAGGATGCTGGCAAGTCGTCGAACCGTACTCTGTCGCTGGGCAATTAAGCTCCGGCAAGTTGTCAACGTCCGATGGACCTTGTCCGTGGGGAGTTCTAATGTCATGGCTATTGAACTGACCTGGAAGCCCAGAAACTCCACTACTTGTACCGGCTGCAGCTCTGACTTGATGAAGTTCACTTGGAAGCCCAGGGCCAGCAACAGATGAATGAGGTTGGCCACATGCTGCAACGCCTCCTGATATGATCCGGCCATGATCAGAATATCGTCCAGGTACACGACCAGATGTACACCCTGTTGGCGGAGGCAGGTGATCACCGGGTGAAGGAGCTTGGTGAACTGCCGTGGAGCAGGTGCCAGGCCAAACGGGACAGCCGCAAACCGGTACTGCCGACTTTGCCACTGCACCATCAGGAAGCGACGGAGGGTTGGATGCACCGGCATGGACAGGTATACGTCGGTTAAGTCCACTTTCACTATAAAATCGCTCTTTATCAATAGCTCCCGCAGCGTGGCGATACCTTCCATTTTGAAATGGTGGTATTGCACAAACTGGTTCAATTCCCGCAGGTCGGCCACTGGGCGCATCTTGCCATTCTTTTTCGGTACGACAAACAGTGGACTGAGAAAGCCAGGTGTACCAGGGGGCACCTCCTCCAGGGCACCCTTCTCTTGCAGTGCCTGTACTTCTTCCGTCACCACTGCAGTAAACTCTGAGGACATCTGCCTGGGGAGTGGCTTCCGCCACTGGACTGGTTCCCAACTGAACTCCAGGCAAAACCCTTGCACATATTGCGTGACCTCTGGGTCTCCGGTCAGCTGACGCCAGCATCTGGTCTGACCACCAATTCGGCCGCTCGGACGTCCCTGGACCTCCGAGTCGCTCACCCTCCAGTCCAAGCCCCACTCGGGTAGCTGGGTGCATTGAAATTGCAGGTCTGGTGGGAGCGCCTGCCAGCACACCTCTGGCAGGAAACGTTTCAGGCATTGTTTGGCGGAGGGCCGTGCTTGTTGCCGGGCTGTTGTTGCGACCGGGGCTGCCACTGCGGCTTCTTGGGGTAATGTGGATGGTGAGGGGCATGGCTTGCGGAGGTCCACCCGTCCCTGTGGGCTCCGCTCCCTCGAAAAAACGGCTCGCGGGAAGCCTCCGAAGGCTTGCTACGTTTGGCGTTGCCGTCCCCCTGATCTTGTCCGAAGCGTGACGTCCGTCTGTCTCTCCCAGCCACATGACCATGACTTGGCGGCAGCTTACGCAGTACGTCAGCCCAAGCCTTGTCTGTTTCCGCCTGCTTCGCTATCTGCTCGTTCAGGGCAGGGCCAAATAATGACTCTCCCGGGTTAGCAAACTCTGCAGTGGCCAGGCTGGAGAGGTTGGGGTGGATCTTGGATAAATAAATGGAGCGCCGTTTTATGGTGAGTGCCTGGTTAGCATCTCCCAGGAGACGCAGTGCTGCCGTAGCGGCCTCCCGGATCTGTTGACCTTGCTCACCGAGGCCAGGGTTTTGCGTGTGTTCAAGTATGTCACACAACGGACCCACCACATTCAATAATTTCGCCTGCGTCAGGTACTGAGGCCTATCGGGCCGAGCCTCCGAACGAGGCGGCTTCTTGTCAGCCCCATACACCATGCGGGCGACTTGCGCATCCAAAGCCGGGACTAGTGCTGCTGGAGTGTCAGGGCGAGGGTAGCGACGGGAAATGGCCTGCCGGGATTTGCGTCGGAGTTCTGAGCGAAGACATGACTCAAGAAACTTAGCAGTTTCGGGCGAGACATGACGGGTAAAACTTTTCTCTTCCTCATCCCCGTCCTCCGCTGGCCAGTCAGTGTTGGGACCCACACCGTCGGACACCAGGCTATGGGTGCTACCGGAGTCCAAATCATCAGCCTCCACACCCGCTAGCGTCGGACCAAACGGCAGGTGGCTTAATTGCGCCAGATCGCCTAGATCTTCAGGACCAATCGGGTCTGAGGGGAGAGGTCGTAGCCTAGGTGGCCCTCTCGAGGTCGACCGAGCAGCGAGTGGCTGCAGCGTGGGAAAATTTGTCAGGTCCCCATCAACGAACCCACCACGCGTATGCTCAACACCGGCTCTGGAAGCCTGAGCGGGCTGACTACTGCAGGCAGTAGACCTCGCTAACGAGGAGTCAGCCGATTTGGAAGCAACCGGGATCAGGAGTAGATCAGTTTCCGGGGTACATGTCCCATCCACGATCCGCGAGTCGTGCTCTTGCCCGGACTCCAAATTTCCCACAGGCATGGACGTGTTGTGGCCTTCCAGGGATGCCAAACGCCTCTCCAGTGGGCACAAGGCATGGTCCAGAGCCTGCTGGACTAGCGAAAAAACATCCTGAGGTGCGGAATCCATACCGAAAACTCAGACAACAGAAAACTTCAACTACACACTTCCTCGAGCAAAGAAAAAAGGTGAAGAAGAAGCTAGAGTTCCCGCGTTTGAGCTGATGGATCACGCGTGGAGCAGTTTTCCTTACGAAAATTTGTTTTTCAAATTTTAGTAAAACTGCGTTTTGAAAATGCTATCTCGAGCAAAGGAAAACCCGATTTCGGGTTGGTATACACTGTTATATCGAAGCTCGAAGCTCCGATATGCAATTGCTATTCACCTCGTACAGCAATAGAAAATATCTAGGTCAGTGCACTACTGCTGTCTAGCTCTGGATATACATGTACATGTACATGATTGTACAGTGTCCTGGCTATCATCTTCAATCTCATTCTTTCCTCTTGCAGAGATCTTTCCAGGATGCCAAACATGTTAATTGATGAGCAAGTAGAACCGATGTTAAACTCCAAAGAACATGAGATAGTTGCGTTCGTGCGGATCTGTAGCTCATTCAGTTGCTCATCCAGTGGGGATGTTTCCTTTCTCCATCTTCCTTCCCCTATTCCCGAATTCCTCGCTTTCTCATTATTGCCGCAGTTTTGCAGTCCCACTCATGCAATAGGCTTCCCCGTGGGATTAGCTTGTCACCTTCGAAGGAGTGAATAAAGGAGATGATGCAGCCAGGGTTCTGTATGTATGTATAACTCATAATCACAAGGTGATCGTAGAGGCATTAATCAGCGAGAGAATTGTGAATGATGTCTCTGAATCCAACTCTATCGTGTGCTGCATGAGAGAGAGCATGCAAGGGAAGACCCGTCCAACTTTTAATGTTAGAAATCCATGATGTCGCGGGCCTTCCTCTCGGTCGAGATCCAGGAGTTGATCCTTGCAGGAAGGGCTTGGAGAAAACGTCATGTCTCGTAACATCAGCCCTCACCATTGTCTACACGGATTTCAAAAGCGTCGACCTCCATTTTGAAAACATGGTGGCTGGCCGAGCTACCCGTAGGCGCACGTGCCCCCCGCGTGTCTTAGCGCGAGCTTCGAGCTAAAGTAGTGAAGATCATGTCGCCCACTCATTTCCCTGTGTTTCCCCATTTCTTCGAACTCGCTCAGCTTTTGCTTCGCTTGTGCTTCAGCTCCACCCTGTAGTCTGAGTTTAGTTCTCTTGTCTTCTTCCAGCAGAATACTGCAAACTCTACAGCACGTCGAGCTTCTCCTAGAAGAGTTTCTTTTGCGTCGAGATAGAGTGTCGATCGTTTCAGTCCTATCTTGCCGTCGTCTCATGAGCGCCCGAAAGCAACAGTATCTATTTTCTTGGCGTTCCATTTTCTGGCGAACTCATTCACCTACTACTTCTTCCTCTATGAAAGCTTCAGGTGGCTGAGTTCTCCCACTAGCGACAATCATGCCTTGGAAAGGAACAGGATATTCCTAAGGTACACTGTATGTACAGCCAGTGCAGTTATGTCAGTGTACTGCACTGCAAAAAGCTACAGCATGCACTGCGCGTAGTTGTTCGTTTTGTCGAGAAAGAATCTCTTTCGCACTCGCGCGGGCCGCGAGGGTGCAGCACGGAAACGGGTCTATTGAATTCATTTCTTGGTCGATTTTGACAACCAATACGTCGTTGTTTTTCTTTTTTCACTGGCTATCCTTTCTCCGCTTCCGAATTGCAATGCCGTCCACCTGGAAAGCCTTGAAGTGAAATGAGTGGAGGTCGATTTTGGAGGTAATTTTCGGCCAAACGGCAATCAAATCGAAAAATTCGAAGCGGACGATCTGTTGGTATCTATCGAAAGAAGACGTTGGTCCATAAAAAATCTTTGGAAACTACACCGTATGAACCAAGGAATTACGGTAAGTTTGAGAATTTTGGTGCATTAGCTGTACGCTGATTGGTCGATTAGCGCGACCGTTGACAAACGGGCCAGTGACGCTTTGTACAGCGTTGGTGAGGGCTGAACATGGCCAAACCACATCAACTTAAATTTCCAGGGTTCTAGCCAGGTGAAATTAGTAGGGGGAGGGGGGGGGGGGAAGGAGAGGGGCAGGGGATGCAGTTACCCCATAACCCATTTTTTCCATTTCCCCAAAATGTCTTGCCACACAAATGCAACGTATGGGGCTCTCCCAGACAAGTGAACCCTTCATGATCCCCCTGTTAGCGAATAACACCTGCATTTCTCGTTGAATGGCCTGTAAAAACCCATAAAATCGACAAATTAGTACGGGAGCCACTTTTTTACAGGGGGGGGGGGGGGGGGGGGGGCTCAATCAGAGTAGGAGGGGGGGGGGGGCTGCCCCTACATCCTTTGGATAGAAGGTGATCTACTCTAACTTAAGACCATCGCCAGAAACTTAAAGAAAAGAAGACGTTCCAGTGATGTATACAGATGCACATACAGAATGAAGTTAAGATGGCATATCTCGACGCAGTTCACACATCCAGTCAGGAAGATGCTTCTCATACCGTGTCGAACGTTTTCGTTTCCTGCTTTTCAAGGATTGGATGCGGGAATGGCTCAAAATCTGGATGTCGTGGATAAATGTCTACCTCCTCCTAAGTGATGCTCTCTTTATCTTTACACCATATAAGTTGTAGTCCTGTTCCTTTTTGAGCTTCAAGCACAATGCTGCTGAAAGAAATCCGGTTGGGTGAATCAGTTTGAGCCCCGCACCAGTTTGAGCCACGCACCAGTTTCAACCCCGCACCAGTTTGAGCCCCACATCAGTTCGCATCCCAGTATTCGTAGGTCTATGGCTGTACATCGCCCGGCCTGGCATTCACTCGCTTGATCGGATTATCATTTGAGGAGAGCGGTACTTCTTCTTGAAATGCACACCGTGTACTAGATGCACATTTTAACACGTGCCTTGTTTCACGGTTGTTTAAAAACACCAGGCTCAATGGTTCTTACCGCTCTATATAGCTGGTATCTTGCAAAATGAAGCTCTGCTTTGTCCGCCGATGAGTGATAACTTTCAAGGTCCTTAGCTGATTTGATGCGGTCATAGTGACAGTAAACTTGCGGATTGGGTGTGAGATCATCTGGAAGTTCCAGAACTCTGCGTACTTCTAGCGAGGCTTCCTTCATCTCCAGCATACTTTTCATGACATTGAAGCAGGTCAGCTTAGCCTTGAGAATAGTAAACTCATCAAGCTCATTGGGTACATCAGGCAGATCCAAGCAGAACACACAGTCGCGGCATTCTTTTGACTGGATATCTGCCAGAGGCAATGTAATGGCAACACCACTACCACTTGATTGGGTACTTTGGCCCGCATAGGCTTCGATTATGTTACAATTGTTCACAGCCGAGACTTCCAGGGATACATTACTCACAACTCTGCTAAGCAATCCACCCAAGCAGTCGGCAAAGGACTCTGGAATCTTCTCCGATGAGTCAATGTAGTAGTGCATTCCATTACCAGCCTTACTCACTGCTTGCAACAACTCGGCATTGTGATTGGCACCAAAGCCAAATGTGTAAATACTTGCAGCCACAACGTCACTAGGTTCAGTAGAATTAGCTATTGTAGATGTTACTACAGGTTTTATTGCTGGTGCCGACGCTGCCTGTAGGGATGGTAGTGGTTGTTTTACTGCTGCTTGTGGTAGAGTGGGCAGTTGTAATGGGCTCGGTTCTACTGTTCGTTGTGTTGATGGTGGACATGGTACTGTCGGTTCTTGTGCTGGAGCTGGGAAGTTGTTATGAGCACGGTAGTTGCCAGAAGGATACAAGCCATGGCGGGCTTGTTGTGTTAAGCAAGCAATTATTTCTTGCTGTGAGGTGAAGCCCACATCGGCTTGACCATCCGTCATGAGAAGAATAGACGACACAGATGCATTCTTCTTTTCGGCATTTGCGTCTCCACTGGATTTTTCTTTCTGCAGATCTTCAATCATGGCCAACCCTTCCACAAGTCCTCCACATAAATTTGTGCCTACTTCTGTATCCATGTGCTCAATGAGAGAGGTCGCTTTGGCTTTTCCGCTCGCATCCATCCTCCAGAGTGAACCAGTTGATGTCACTTCCTCGTCGTATAACACGATTCCCAGCTTGTCGTGTTCATTCACTATCAACATAATACATGAAGAGAAAAGTCACATGAGATGAAGTCACACAGGAAGAGGTATTGCAAGTGCTACGTCACAGCATAGCAACAATTTCAAATATTCAAAAACTGGATCCACTTGGGTTCAGTTTTTGTATGGATGCAAGAACATTTCAAGCGGTCTTAAGCCTAGTTCACATTCGACGGGGCGCGACGGGACGTGACGTAAAGATCGACGGGAAGCCACGGGCCGTCTGACGGCGTCCAATGTGAACACCAGGAACGGGAACACAACCGTACTAATGTACAGATCGGGAAGCGACGGGAAGAGTTAGATCGATCCAACTTTTCATACCGTAGGCGGGCGTAGACGGGGACGCACGTGTACAAAACGGCTGCAATTCGAGTGTGAGCAGGAGACGGCGTCGTGCGCCGACTACTCCCGATACGTCCTTGGACATTTTTAGCATTTCGAACACTGCACTTCCCATGATAACTCACAGAATGGCTAGCACGACTCGAGTTGAATTTTAGCAGCTTAAGATCTCAGGTCACTTATTGTATTTAGGAATAGTTCAGAAGCCTGACAGACAAACTATTCTATCATTTCCTGGGGCTATTATTTGAAAGCCACAACTTTCAGGGCTAATTTTTGGTCTCCATAAAAAACTGGTATTGTGGACTTGATTCCGCTTCTTTCAAGGAGAAATAATTGAAGAGAAAATCCGAAAAACGAGAAATTAGGTCCGAAAGTCACCCCGTCACGGACCGTGCCTTATGACTCGCACCATTTGACGTTGAACGTCGCAACAACTGCTGCATGTCGTGTCGTACGAATCGTACAGGATTTTACAGCTCGCCCCAGCCCTCCCGACAAGCCCTTGCGTCCCGTACCGTCGGCGTTGCGTCGAATGTGAACTAGGCTATACTCACAGCAAGGTGATGTAACCGGTGAAATTGACTGGGTTGGCTAATGGGGGTGGGGTGACAATTGGTGGCGAAGAAAAAGTCACACATGCATACGACATGCGTGGGTTGCTATGCACCCACACACTGAGGCAATAGCAAAGTCACACCCCAGGTAGGCGTTAGCCTTTGGGTAATCCTGAAATAAAGATTATTATGAAGAAAGGAAAAGGACAAAATGTTGCGAGTTATGAAAAACTGTCCACCAACGTAACTAGATCTTATACAGTCAGCGAGTGCGACAAAATGGCACAAAACTGACAAGGAGTACAGAGACATTCCCTTGTCAGTTTTGTGCCATTTTGTCGCACTCGCTGATTGTATACGATCTGGTTACGTTGGTGGACAGTTTTTCATAACTCGTTACATTTTGTCCTTTTCCTTTCTTCATCATAATTATATTGGCTCACCATTTGAGTTCAACTTTGCACACCATAAAGAATATTATTATTATTAACTGATTGTGTCTTTCCCTCAAACCAGTGAATTATTAAAGGTTAAGTTAAGGCAAAAATTAAAATTTCACCAGTTGTAGTCTTCGGGGTGCTGAGTCGAATGGTCTTGGTCCGAGAAAGCTTAGACTCTCCCTTCCTACTTGAATCCCAATCGAACTCGCGCACTTCCACCGAAACTGGGTGACTGCGCCCTACTAGATGGGGATTTGTATGCAAAATGTCACTAAAAGCGCCATTTCGTTCTTATAAAAGCACGGATGACCGCGATTGGCCCATATGTTGTACTCTTTTGGACGCTCAGTTGACTGGTTTTGGTCCGAAAAGGCTGCGATGCAGCGCTCCTTCTTTATTCCCAATCGAACATGGTTGAACAAGCGGTCACGTGCTCCTGGGTGCCCAAATCACCTGGTCACCATGCCAGCAGGCGACAACTTTCACACCAAGGTTCAACTCGAGTGACAGGACTGCACCCAAAAAAGGTCAAACAGGCTAGTAAGTTGTACCCTGCAGGCACGGTGACCAGGTGACTGGTGTACGCAGGAGCACGTGACCGCTTGTTCAACCACGTTCAATTGGGAATAAAGGAGGAACGCTGCCGGACCAAAACCAGTCGACTCAGCGTCCAAAAGACTACAATATATGGGCCAATCGCTGTCATCCGTGCTTTTATAAGAACGAAATGGCGCTTTTAGTGACATTTTGCATACAAATCCCCATCTAGTAGGGCGCAGTCACCCAGTTTCGGTGGAAGTGCGCGAGTTCGATTGGGATTCAAGTAGGAAGGGAGCATCTCAGCTTCCTCGGACCACGACCATTCGACTCAGCACCCCGAAGACTACAACTGGTGAAATTTTAATTTTTGCCTTAACTTCTCCTTTAATTTAAAGGGGAACTGTCACCAAAAAATATTTCTTTGTCTTATCTTGTAGTTCTTTGGCTCCTGACCACGATGGTGTGATTCTTTTTTCTCTGCCATGACTGGAAGTGGGTGAAAACTTGAAAAGAAGGTGCCCAAAATTGTCCCGAAGTACCGAGTGACGTCACGCCGGACTTGACCTCCACGCGTACATTCATCGTCAAAAACGAAGTCCAGCCCGTGTGTTGGTCGATCGAGCCAACTGTTCGATGTACGGTGCACACTTGCCTTCTGAACTCGGACACTCGATGTGTACGTTGTACACAATGAGAACGCCAAAAAGGGACAAAATGAAGAAAAGTCGACAGCAGTTTGTCGCACTGGTACTTCCTCCACGAAGCTCCAGCTCTTTTGTTTTATTTGTGATTACGAAGGAGTGGAAGGATGTTTGTTTGCTGTTAGTGTGACACACATACCTCGTGCTTGAAAATGATGTCGTTGTATCGAAGCCGAAGGTGGCGGTGTTGCCCACCCGGCTCTGAAATGAAAGACGTCGGAGTTTGTCATCTGCATCTTCAGCAACATCGCCAGATGAATCGCCTTCACGTACCTACATTGCGTTCCTTTGGGGCTCGGGTTGGTTGTGTTATTATTCCCGGCCGGAGGAGTACTGTTTTATGCATACTAGGGGTGAAACGATTAGTTCGAATATTCAAGTATTCGTTCGAAAATTTCAAACGAGCGAGTGTTCGAAATTTTGCACTCGATCGTTTTTTTTTTTTTTTTTTTAGTATTGGCATTCTATTTTTCAAAAACTTCTGTTGTACCGCTCATCGACTGGTACATGGTATGCATGCATTATGCATGCCTTTGAGTCAGTATTTTATGACTTGGACGATGCAATCACCACCGCAAGTAACGTTAGTTTGTGTGTACCCTGTAAGAAGGCATTAGGCCTGTGGGGATTGCCCTATCAAAAATTTGATAATAATAATAATAATAATAATAATAATAATTTTTTAAAAGAGGTCGGAGGCGGATAATACTTTAAAACGAAGGTAAGTTATGGGTCGCAAATATCCACGCAAACACACATCCAGTCATAATAAGGCACTTGTCATAAGTATCCGAACGTTTTCGGTCCCTTCTCATCAAGGATTATACAGGGAATGGCTCAAGCTGGAAAGACTAAAACTTATATAGCGTAAAGATAATTAGATAACAACACTCGTGACAATGTGGAAAATTATCAAGTTTAGCACGACACAAAACTCGAAGGAAAATAATAATAGTGACAACAACATAGTGAGCAAATTAAGTTACATTGTTACCACCTCGACGAGGAGTAACACCAAACAATTGTAGCGACAACACATTTTCTTTCTGTACGCAAAGTTCAGGATCTAACTTACGGATATACAAAGCTTCTAACACAGCCAAATGTAACGCACATCTACCACGTGACAATATTGAGAAAACATTATCACTGTACAACTCACGACAATTGGTACGGGCTGACAGATGTTGCTTGATTGACGAAGTGCGATTCTTAGCTCCATTGGGTGTTGTCTCCTCCAATGTCCCGTCATCTCGCCTCTTCGTGGCATCACCACTATCTGTCTCTTCGCGTTTCCGCGGCCTTCCACGTTTCTTGACACTAACCGTTGGGTGCGCGATACCCGGTGTCCTTTCCGTTACGTCTCCTCCATTGCGGATTTCTATTGAGCTTCTTACTCCAACTTGTCCGGTGTCCGATATTGAGGTTAGTTTTCGTGGTCTACCACGTTTTCGAATATTAACTGTTGTTGTCACTTCCGTTGTCGTTGTACGTTCGTCCTCATCAGTCCGTATTTTCACTTGGCTTCTCGTCACCCTTTCCGACGCCGACAGATCCTTTGTCAGTTTCGGTGGTTTACGTGTGGGTCTTTCACCATCTTTTATGCTGTTCTCAGCTGGCCCGTGTCCTACACACGCAGAGGAGGACGGGCATGCAGTCACATCTTCACGGGAAGAGGAAGATCCACCGATGGACTGGACAGCACATTTTGGAGGACGACCACGGCGAGGACGACAATCGCGCGCATCAAGCGGAACACAACTTAACGGCACATGTTGACGAATGCGTGCGCCCAGGTGCTGAAGGGTTCTACCTACATACCGATCTTCACATTGTCGGCATTGAAAGAAATAGATAAGGTTACTTTTACTAAGGGTAGGTAGAACATCCTTCTTCACACCGAACGCACGCACTGTCCCAAATATGACGTACAGCTTGACGCACGGATATGATGGACATACGATACCACGAACATCCTTCTCCACGCGCGCAGAACCGGTGCCAACCCAGGGTAAACGGAGCACCACTGGGCAACGGTCAGGTCCAAATTGGATAGGCTTGTCTGTCACCGGTTTTTCGTTGATTAGCTTGGCCAGAAATTCCTTTGGATAGCCGTTGTTCGTAAATATTGATGTCAGTCTGTCTAATTCGTCCTGCAATAGATGAGGGGAACATATTCTATGTGCACGATAAACTAGCGCCTTCACAAGATGTCTCTTCGATTTCGTTGGATTATAGCTCCCCCACGGAATGTAGAGGCCGGTGAACGTTGGCTTCCTATAGATAGTGGTGTCCAAACTCTTAGTGTTAATATTCCGTGATATTTGTACATCCAAGAAGGATAAGCTGCCGTTTTGTTCCGCTTCCGACGTGAATCTCAACGCCGGGTGGACACTATTCAGAGTTA